TATAATACATTGGATATTTGACTGGTTTCCTGAAATAGAATACAATTTTTGCATTACATGATGAATAATATTCTAAGTAGATTCTCGTGGTACAGAAATCGGATGATGGCAATGGAGAATTTTTTGAAGTTCCTGTTTTGTATGTTTATTTGTACAAGCTTGCGTGTGCGTGGATCACCCTATATCTACAAGCAATTCAGATCAGGAATTGTTTCGCATATAGAAGTTTTTTTAGCGCTTCATAACATTTTCACTTGTGGAAAAATACTTGATCTGAACTCATACTTTCCCACATTCGACTACTTACCCGAAATCAGCTTTTTCGGATAACGGTGTCGAGTGTGGAAATGTACTGTTTCCGTACAAGTTAAGATAATAATAACTGCTAGTGCGGTATTGTCACTAGATATATTTTCGAATGGTAGATTTTCAAATTCGAGTGATTTGACATGATATTTTTTCATTCAACTCGAGTTAAAAATGTGTTCTGACAATTTTGATCCTAATACCTATTGAACTGAAAATGGTCTCCCCAATTTGCTCAAGAAAAGTTTAAAGCTGGATTTTGGGTTATCCGAGAATATTTTCTCATGGTCTGATGAACATGAAAAAGTATTATTTATCTTCCATAGATATTTATAACAGTTATTCAAAATTTTTCTTATCTTCAGTCATTTTATGAACATGTTATACCAATACAATCACTAATCCACGTGTGTATACCGCATTAATTATAATAGTAATTATAATTACAATTAATTTGAATATTAATCTTGTGAATCCACCCAAGGCAAGCAGATGTTTTTGTGAATTCGATATTTATTCATCACATTTATTTTTATTCATATAATCTGTACTGTTTGCTTATAAATGAATAAATTATTGTGCATTTAGAAACTTGCGTTTCTAACAACTTAACCATGCCACAGAATGACTTATTAATTTTTGGGAAAGAAAGTTTTTGGCTTTCTACTACTCCATCTTGATACTAAAAAAGAAGGATGAGGGAGTCTTCCAAAGAAAGGAAGGAAGTAACTCTATACATGGATGTGTAGATCATGCATAAAAAATATAACCCCTTCAATTCAGATTTATTAATGTATTTTATATTATTACATTTATGAAAATCGGACCAGCCGTTACCTAATAATAAGCAGATTCATATTCATGTTAAGAATTCCAGTTTAACACACTTTTGGTTCAGAATATCAGCCAGATGAAATGAAAGAAACAAAATATATTACCGATAACATGTGCATGGTACATTCTTACAATAGTCCCTGGTGTGTTATAAACAAATCCCTATGATAACTACATTCTGTTTTATAAATTTAACTACGATAAGATTAAGAATATATTTTGATATCATGAACACTGCCCAACCAGATATTATTGTGAAGTTTACATTTTAACCATGGAAACCAGGTATTATTGAACAAAGCCGGATTGGAATTCACATCAACGGGTTTGTTAGTTTGGGGCACCAACTGTTGATTGTAAGCCAATAACTTTTTCTTGAGATTTTTCACGATATCTTGTTTTTCTTCATCTCCAATGAGATTTGTTGTTTCACAAGGGTCTGCGTGAAGATCGAAGAGACAATATTCATCACAAGTGAATGTAGGATAAGTTCCTTGTGGTTTATACTTTTTCATATCAACTTCCGCTCGCAGTTTTTTTATTTGGGCTGGTGTTAGTGGTTGCTGTTCAATAGTTTGGATTGCAATATTGGTAGGGCTGTTCAGTATTCCCTGGATGTTATAGTCAGGGTTTTCAGGCTCTCTTCCATGGTCTCCATAATACCCATTGTATATACCATCATTATAGGATCCTGTGGAAATGAGAAAGATTCTTAATATATGATTGTAAAGGGGCCGTTAAAAACAATATCATATATTTTCAATAAGAATGGGTTTTGCTATTTTAAAATAATATTAAAAGTTACGTTATATGGAGTTACTTATAATTTAATTCAGTATTACATTTCAATAATTTTTTAATTATTTTCAGTCATGATTACTTGCTTTAAACTGCATTAATCGATTAAAAAAACATTTTTTTATAGTTTCGTGTATTCTTCCAAGATTGTTTTAGTAGTCTTCGAGTTGTTTTGTGACGTATTTATATAAACACGTTAGCTGTAGAAATCCGAATTATTTTCAAGTGTCTTGAGTAATTATTGTGAGTAATCTGATGACTTACCATTCAACAACTTGTATTGACCTCCATATCCCAACATTCCGGAATACCCATTTACCTCGTCAATATTCAACAAGATATCAGTTCTCTTTGTAGTATCGTTTCTGGAAATTGTATTCCATTGATTTTTTCCATCGATTTTCCCCAGAGCTTTCGTATCCCCTCCTGCAATAAATTGACTTCATCAATACTAATCTAAATCGTCCCTGAATATTCCATTCTGCTAAAATTAATCGGGATGATTATGTAGTTATTATCGATTTGAAATTTGTACGATGAGGTGCACAGACACATTGTTTTACCAGCACTTTCATGAAAAACTATACAGTCTAACAGCTCTAAAATGACGAGAAATCATCCAAGATATAAATCGGATAACCTGATTTGTATATCTCCAATGAGTATTTTTATTGGAATATTCATTTGTTCTTGCAGATTTTTAAGTTCATAACAAGCATCTGTAGAGTGATTGGTCTCTCTCTAGGTTCATTTGTCCATCCTCCTCCTATCAAAGTTTGACAGGAGCTTCCTCGGTCTTGCTCGAAACAATGCTGCCATCTCGCTTTTGTCGAACTTTTTTATTATAAAACCACATATCTTTCATATAATTGATGCAATCCTATTTCCACGTGGACATCCGATCTACTCCGGCCTCTAACCAGCGTGAATGGGGGTAGGTGTTATGTAAATCCACTTTAGGACTCTCACGTGGACATTTGGTCCACCCCGGCCTTTAACCGGCGTCAATGAGGGTGCTATTTTTCCTGAAACACTTATACAACTCTCGTTAACATTAATACTAATAATTATTTTAATGGTGGCTCGTTCTATAACGGCGGACAGTCATATCACAAAGTGAATTTGATCTTCAACAATGGTCCGCGTACCTTCTTTGTGGGCAGTCATTATCGGCACGTCCGTCCCCAAACATATCAGAAACGAAAATCTCGATTGAAAAATTCACATTTTTTTTTTACTTTGGCAATATCATTTATTGCGGAAATGCAATATAATCTTTTATTGTTAATTGTAAAGTGTAAAAAACGCCCTACGCCCTGATTTTGATTATGATGCCAGCAACGAAAAAAAATGAACAACCGAAAAATCGGTGCATCGTTCTTTAGGCTATCGATATGGGTCGATTGTCGGTAACGGTAAAAATTTCTGTATCGGTCGATCCCTAAAAGAAATTCTAACAAATTCAATTACACATTCTTGTACAGCTGTAGGCAGTTCTGAATCAAACGAAGAAGTGCTTTTGGAACCCTCAATAAGTATATATGTCCAGTGGATAAACGATGAGGTTCCAACAGATTTTGAAATATACTAAATCTTACGTTTCAAGTCTACAGAGTTATTTCTGCACATAGAACACTGTTTGATTCGTTTTATAGAGTAAACTGGAGTAAACTAAAAGGTGATGAGAATAATGTGATAATCACAGAAAACATTGAATGGGATGGAACTTGAATTGGTGAAAGACTGGAGGGAGAAGGTGGAACCTCAAAGTTCTTTCTTGGACACGCAAAGTTTCATCTTTCATCAGCTGAACAACTTATTTTTTGATATGATTGGAACCTAATTGTTGATACTTCATGTCACCTGCCAACAGATGCCACAGATTAAAGTTCCTAATTATTTCATTCTTCCTATCAAATAAACTAACAACAGGTAAAAATGACAATGAAGTAGATATTATTCAAAATATACTTGGGCTATATTCAAACTGTTTAATTTTTTTGAGAAAATTACATTGAATAGATTTTGGAGATTGAGAATATATTTGATTGAAAATTGTATTTTTCTTTTTCCAAAAACTGTTAGAATCCTAACCATTCACCTAACATGTGACTGAAACAGTACTAATAACATTTATATCAATTTAAAACATTTTCACAAGTTGAAGAAACTAATTCTTAAATTCCAATTAATTTTTTTATGGAATAAATATCACAGCAAAAAATATTAGTATCATGAAAAGTTATGATGGTGATTTCTTCAGAAGAATTTCAAATGCATAGTGAGATGAAATATTCAGTATGAGCACCTACAACAGACTTATTTGGTTGACAAAAATAGCATATTGAATGAGACTGACTCATCAACGAACTCTACAAAAAAATAGATTAGAATGAGGTATACCACTAGTAACAGCAGACTGGTCGACAAATTGTTCTACTTTTCTGTAAACTTTTACAAATACTACAGATATGTACACTTCACCTCATACCTACCAGTCTATATTTATAAACTTGATGTGCGTGTCTGGATACTACTGACAGTTATGAGATCATGTTTTAAAAATATAACAATTTGTTTGTGTAAAAATTTCACTTGCACTTGTCTAGTAGTGCAACGGGGTATTCTCTATTGTAGTATGTGGCAAACGATTAATATAGATTATAAAACTATAGACTATAAAGCCATAGACGAAATCATACATACAGGCCGTTTCTTTCTAAACCGTAACAGATACGAAGACGATTAACTGAGAAAAAAGCAACTGTTATCAAGAACAATTCGAATAAAATTTACGGAGACTCTCGCCCTTCTCCAGTTATACGGAGAAAACCAAAACTGCTGTTTTTCGTTTTTTTCGAATGGAATTATTATTTCGAAGAATATCAAGAAATGGAAAAGTACTAAAGTACTATGACGATGTAATAATAAGTATTCGATAAAACGTTTCGTGTCAACACGGCCACTATCAACTTTTTTTTCAATGCGGTCCTGTCTTTTTTATTACAGATATTGATAAAGCGATAAATTCACAATCGAAGGGTATATCACATTTGATATTTTTATAGCGTTTCATTTGAAATAACCACCATCATTAGTGACAACAATCAAACAGAATAACAATTTATTTCATCATGAAGTGTTGGGAAAAATGAAACCAATACGGAAAATCAAAGCTACATGGCAATCTACATTAAATGCTTGAATTGACGACTTCTTTGTTGAATGTACATAGGTTTCGGTCCAGAGAATATCTGTGGCAATTTTCTAGCATAATAGGTGTAATACTAATACATGCATCTCTTATCTTTTGTTTGAGATGGTCGATATTTGTACTTGGTGTTGAAAAAACTTCATCATTTATGTATCCCCAGACAGGATTTAGATCTGGGGATCGAGCTGGCCAGTTAATTGCTCCATTGTTTCCAATCCATTTTCTTGGGAATATTGCATCTAAATGTTCGCTTTCTATTGCTGCATAATGGAGGGATGGGAGCGCCGTACTGTTAAAAATATTGTATTTCATGTCGGTTATTCAGTGGCAATTCATCTAAGTAGCCATCGAATTCATTGAATAGGAAGTGAAGATACATTTCACTATTTAAATGATCATCGTAAAAGAAAGAGCCAAGGATGTTTGTTCCCACAATTCCCAACCAAACATTTAATCCGAACCTCTCTTGGAAATTGGTTTCCGCATATAAATGTTCATTTGTATCCCACCTATAATGGATATTTCTGTTAAACCAACCATTGTTGGTGAATTTTGATTCGTCCGTCCATATTATTTCTTTACAAATATTTCCAACTTCCCTATTTCTACGTCTTAATCACTTCGCAAACTGTACTCTCCTTTTGTAATCCTTTTCATTGAAGTGATGAACTTTGCGTATCCTGTAGCATTTATATTTGTTTTTTTTCAAAATAGTTCTGGTGGATTTTACAGAAATCCCCATTGATTGGCATACTTTTTGTAACTGGCCAATCCTAAATTAAAAAAAAAGGTGTTTTCACTGTGTGCATTTTTATGTGGTAATATTTGCTTACCCATAACATTTATTTGATTCCTCACACTTCCAGTAACCACACATTTTCTTGTTTTCTTTCTGTCAAATGCACAATAGTTCCTCAATTTTTTTTCTAATCGTCCAAACATTTGGATGTTCGGAATACGACGATTCGGGTATAGCTCAACATATATATTCCTTGCAAAAAGAGGATTTCTATTTGATTTTGCATAACTAAATAAACGTCTGACAGTTCTCAACAACGCATTCATTTTTCCTGCCATAGAAATCAAGCAAAGCCTATGCGTTTAAGATGGTAAATGAATTGAGATGCTATTTGGTCATACCAAATTATACAACAAGTGAATTTTGACCAAAAACTGATATTTTTCCTACTTCCAGGATTGTGAATTATAAAAATATTACGAATTTCAATTTCCAATTTATTTCCAATTTATTCATTCAGTTAACATTCAATTAAATATTCAGTTAAATTCAGTTGAATAATTAGATTAGGTACATGAATAACTATTTTATGTGCTATTTTGAATTCATTAAAAAGTCGATAATTACACCTAAGCATAGAATATGCTTGTATTGTGCCTATTCTCCCAATTTAAATGAATCCTTATGACAATAGAAAACAAAACAAAAAGTTTTCATATTATATGTTATATAATATATTGGAGAGATAAGGTAAATGCAATGGATCAAAGAAAGGAGTGAGAGCGGGTATTTCATGTATGAATACTCCATGGAATTTTTATATGATATAAATTTGTGTCAGATTTGTACTAGAGGATTCAATATTGTTGCATTTTCATTATAATTGAATATGAAGAAATAAGCCTCGAAAGGATTACGGCCATATAAAAAATTCCAAAACGAAAAAGTACGAACTTTCATTGTGTTAGGGTACCTACCTGTCGAATTTATTGGGTTTTCTGAATTATATTTTGACAAAATCGAAACAATTAACAAAAGATGTAACGACAGGACCGAAATGTAAAATTTTTGTCACTGATGATGGTAGTTATTAATATCTATAATAAAAAAGACAGGTCCGTATTAAAAAAAAAGTTGATGTTGGCCATGTTAACACGAAACGTTTTATCGAATATTTATTATTACATCGTCATAGTACACTTCGAATACAATAACATTTTTCTTTTACAATTCCAATAACAATTCCATTCGAAAAAAATGAAAAACAGCATTTTTGAACATAAAACATAAAAGAAACGGCCTATTTACAAAAAGATGATCTCGCTCCTGCTTTTTTGCGGATCTGGCACCTCAACGGAGTGTCCCGAGGAACTTGTCACTGAGTTTTGATGTGACAATCAACACGATTATGAAAAATATGGTAAACAAGTGGACGGCCAGTTGATGTGACAATTTTGACTTTGAAGTTGATATGCTTCAAATTTGATTCAAATCCTGATTCGCGTCATTATTGTATACTTTGGTCATTGGACTATTCTGATTAACGCCTGGAAACTGCTCAGCACCACCTTGTTTATCAAGGTGCAGCTGTAGCTGCACCTTGATAGACAAGGTGCAGCCATCTATAGAACGCGTCCGTTATTTTTTCTTTTAATGTGATTTTGTTTCCATTGAGTACTTCATTCATTGTAAGTGAACTATCACTTTGGTTCACCGTTATAAAGGGATATTGAGATTTCAACTGGAATAAGTAAAAATTTCAAATTGCCTTCACGGGAAACAAGGTCGGAACCTCTTTATTTTTGAAGGTCATAGGAAAGTCGGATATCTATACACAAAATATGGATCTTCATCGTATTTCCACTGAACCTGAAATGACTTACCTGCGATGTGATAGAGAGTAGGTAACCAATCCGTGATATGGATGAGGTGTCTGTTAACATATCGCCTTTTTTCCAATAGTGGGCTATATATGATTCCCGTTCCTCTTACTCCTCCCTCTAGGAGAGTGAATTTCAACTGAAAATGTGAATATTCGATATGGTATCATTGAATATATAAAGAGTGTATCAGTGAATAGTTCTCACAGACAAATGTTTTGCATTCAATTATTAACTGTAGTCGATGATGCTGTAGTGCATTCACAATTTAGAATTTCTTGAGAGAGATGGCTTTAGTAGCAGAAATAGTTCATTGGTACACTCTTTTGTTATTGTTGATTTACCCCTCTAAAAGGCCATCCGGATGCAAAGTTTTGATATTTTCCTGTGGTCTGGGCTCCATTGTCAGAAAAGAAAATTATAATGGAGTTATCAAGCATTTTCTTTTCAGACATCTTTGTGATTACTTCTCCAACTGATCGGTCCAAGTGATTGACGATATCTGAAAAATAAATATACATTTTTCAAAGAGAAGTTAGGGTGTGAATTTTGTATTTTATTGTAAATATTCCAACTCAGTTCTATAATAAATGGTAGCGCAGTATCTACTCTAGAAGATATCATCACTCAATAAAAGAATAGTTACTGAAATAAAATTCCACATGATATAAATGCTACACCTACCGAGTAGGTAGTTGGGAGAGATGAATATTTAGGGATTTTATTTCGAAATATCTATTTTCTATCTCTCCTCGATACAGTCTTCAGACACTGTGTGATCCCTGTTAGAGTATTGGTACATGGGATGTTTCTCTCCCGATTGGGGTTTTGTTCACGAGATGGAGCTGATACTATAGGATATTCACGTTAAGAAGAGAATGACGTCAATTTTGGTAATTTCCTATAGCCAACATGACAACGTTAAAATCTCTAATGAAATGCGTTTAATAGCAATGAAACTAGTAAAATTTCATTTTGTAAGTTGCTCAACTGTCAGTCTTTGTTTTCTTTTCAGAACTAATAATTTCTTTTGATAAGACCTGCATATATTCAATATGCCTAAAGCATTGTCGAAACAGTCTCAACAAATTTGTATTTCAACTAAGTTAATAGTAAGTAAGGTTGATAGTAATAAAACAAATCAACATTACAAAATAATTTGAATGTTTGCACATGTTGGCAACGCCGCAACTTGTCATTTTGTGACGTTATTCTCTTCTTAACGTGAATATCCTATAGTCAACGATTTTTCTCTAAGACGAAGGTTAAATACGTGCAGTCCCAGGCACTTTGCTGTTTGGTTGGATCTTTCCTGCACTGATGAGAGGTAATACCTTGACACCGGTCTTTAGGTGATCTACTCGAATAATTTCAGCATGGTCATGCTGCTGGATAAACGAGAAACTAACCTCTGTGAGGTATCTTGCACGAATGTCTGTCGGATATAATTCAATATTCAGCGTGGTAAACAGCCTCAGCAGATCTTGTACAATATATACATGATAGCATCAACGAAAATAAGCTTGTGGTTGGACAAGCTTTGATCTGTCAACCCTTGGTATCTACAAATAAAACTGGAAGCTCTAGGCATCCGAGGTCCAATTCAAAAATGGATCGAGTCATATATGTCCGGTAGATCTATTAAGGTGCAGGTTGAGAAGCAGTTCTCCGAAAATTTTGATATAAAGATTGGCACACCCCAAGGTGAGGTTCTTGGGCCACTGCTATTTCTGCTGTATGTCAACGACCTTCCTAACCACATCAGTCAAGGACGTACTTTCGTATACGCAGACGACACAACAATCGTTGTTACAGCTGGAACTATCAATCAGGTACAGGCCAAAATAGATACTGTAATAAAAGAATTTACATACTGGTGTGAAGTAAATCACCTCATCAATAATGCAAAGAAAATGGTCTCCATTGAATTCACTAGTATCTTAAAGCGCAGTAATAAATTATCAATAAATGTTGGTAACACAGAAGTTCACAACTCAGAATCAACGAGATTCCTAGGCCTCGAACTAGACCAAAAACTTTCTTTCAATAGACAAGTTGATGCTCTGTGTAAAAAACTCAACAAGCTGTACTTTGCATGTATTACTCTGAAATCGAGTTTTCATAGGCACCACCTAGTAAACCTAAACTTTAATATACAGTATCATTAGTAGTAACATAATCGTGTGGGGAAGAGCTACAAACACATGCAGAATTTTCATATCACAAAAAAAAATTCATAAGGTCAATATATGATTTGGACTAAACGTGCAGAAACACGTTCATTGAAAACAATATCCTGACATTAATTTCTATCTATCTCTACAAATTATTAATATCAAAATGCTAAAAATATGAATAGAAACAGTGACTACCATGAATATGATACCAGACAGAAGAATGACTTCCATTTGCACCACTCGCAAAGAAAGCAACATATAAAGAGCCCTCTATATTCTGGAGCACATTTGTTCAATTTTTTGCCTGAAGACTTGAAACTCATCACCAATATGAAACATTTCAAACTATCTTTGAAAAAGTTTCTCATCCGCCATGCCTTTTATTCATTAGACGAGTATAAAAAACGTAGCGACTAGGCAGTTTTGTTTCATTGTATTTATATTTAAATATTTTTTATTTTATTTTATTCTTATTATTCTTAATCAATTTGTAACGACTAGAATGTTTGTGATGTTTTTTCTTAATGTTTATTTTCCCTCTTTATGTACTGTGACTTATCTCATGTTGTAAAGCAACCATAAGAAATTGAATAAATATCTATCTATCTATCTATTAGCCGGGAAAGTTGTTTTCCGGCAGGCATTTACCAGGACCTACGATGTAGGTAGTTGGAAGAGATGAATATTTCGAGATTTCATTTTGAAAGAAAATGAATTGTGATGAATGGTGATGGAGAACCAGATACAAACAAATATCGAGAAATGGAAAATCAAAAAGGTTTCTCCCAAAATTTAATCTCTGCTGGAACACACATTTGAATCCTATACGGCTGGAAATAAGTGATTACAGTGTGTATGACTGCTCATGGAAACACCCCCGTATCTTCCGTAATAGTCGAGGTAGAATGATGAAACTCTCAGGACTTATGGAAATTCTGAAAATGCACGTAACACCTAAATGGGGTTGGCCAAAGTGATATACACTGCCGGCAATTCGCGATGGAACAACTCATTTTTACGGTAAAACATACTAGGGGCCAAAATAGTTCGCTTCCAATACCTGAACCCCTTCATTCTATCTGGAGAGTACTCTAAGGTATCAAAGATTTTCACAAATTATTTTGGCTGTGAGGAAAATGTCACAGTACCACATTCTCAGATTATCGAGATAGTGTGGAGCAGTGTAGGAAAAATTACCGATGGCGGCATCTAATATAACTGAGGAAGACCATTCGTAAAACTAATTCTGGGTGCCGAATATCCAAATTCTATCCCAACCAGAAGTGAGAGAGCTCTGTCGCAAAAATTGGAAAAAATCTATTTTTAAAGGTTCACATCTCGGAAAGGGTCCACAGCTTTGGCTGTGCAATTGGCTGTGGCAATTAGCATATCAAAAACTACAACATATCAAAATTTCGACAAAATTCATGGAAAGCCAGTTCTCATAAGAAATATTCATTAAAATATTGAGGAAACATTTTGCCAAGCGAAACAATCGTTAGTTTTTCAAGAAAAAATCGCACTCGGTTAACAGGTAGAATTTAGATTATTTTACCTACTTGCTGAATTGTTGTCTGAAATCATTTGAAGGGATTGAATTACATCAGTTTTATTGNTTGAACTACATAAAATTTTTCGCCACAAAAAACACTTGGTTTCTTGATAATAATGTAAAGATGAGAATCTGAATTAACATTAACCATCCTAACACCTCACTGATATAATGTATCCATTCCACTTACAAAATTAACATTTCCTCTCTTATTGACTTTGTGAGAAGGAATAACTTTCCTGACACCAAAATAAAAAATAAATGAGTTATGTGAAAACAAAGTCAAGTTTCTCTTTAGCAATTGATTTATCATGTAAAAATTCTGATTTTCTAGGGCGGGTTCGTGTTTTGATGTCAAAACAAACAAAAATCTACTTCAATAATCACAGAACTGAAATTTCTTCAGGGAAAACGTGTATTCGTAGTAAGTTGGTAGTCCTGATCACGAATCTGAAGGAATTTTGAGCCTATTTCGCCCCCTAGTATGTTTTACCGTGAAAATGGGTTGTTCTATCGCTAGTGGCGGGCAATTTATATCACTTTGGCCAACCCCATTTAGGTGTGTGCATTTAGGTAGGTATGTGCATTTTTAGCATTTCCATCAGTCCTGAGAGTTTCATCATTCTACCTCAATTATTACGGAAGATACGGGAGTATTGCCATGAGAAGTGAGACACACTGTATATAGATTCAGCTATGAAGTAATATGAATGATTATTCGTCCTGTCAATGTGAAGATTTTTCTTCTGTACAATCAAATATTCGAATAGTATTCATTAAATTTGTTTGGATCGCCGTTCAAAATATTCAACACTGCAGATGACGAATGGGGAATGTTCCTCAATTTCGGTTATTACAGCAAATGCAAGTTTGAACAAAATAAAGTTGAGTTTAATTCATGAGTTTTTCAAATTCACTTCGAAAAGTATTCAAATTGATGTTTATATTTAAATAATTTTTTAAAGAAAAAGGTTGAAATGATAAGTTTAAAATGCGTTGTTTTAGAGCTCTTTTATGAAAACTACTTGATTTTCGTCAGGAGAAATATTCGCCATTGGAAAAGAATCAGAAACCTAGGTTTACTTTGAGATTAGAACGATTTTCTGTAAAATAATTCTTGTTATTTTTCATTTGATGATATCTATTCAAGTGCCTGTTGAAAAATCTGGGCAAATCTGTTTTCTGTTAACCAGCTGTAGCCTGCGAACGATAACCCTCAGAAGTCGAAACTTGTACGAGCTGAAAAATAAAGAGGTTTTACGTTTTAACGTATTAGTTATTCCTGAAGACCAGTGTTGGAAATTGATGAGTTGGAGATATATGAAATAAGGTGTGAGAACTATGACAAAAAATATCGATCAGACTAAACGAGCTATTAAAACTTGTTTCAAAGAACAAGCAGCATCTATCCGATTTCGGAGACCAGAAAAATCCATTGTCGCTCAACACGCTTTGGATAACAGTCATAAAATGAATGAAAACTGTCCAAAATTTTTGAGATTGGTGAATGACATTAGATTTTTGCATGCTTTCGAAAGTCTGGAAATAGAAAAGTATGGTATGAAAACTATAAGCAGTAACAAAGGTCCTATGTTACATTTTTACCAACTTCATTTCAACCTCACTTCCGTAAGCAGTATAATGTTGTTTAACACAATCCATTGAATTGAATCAGTAATTGTAGAGTTCCCGATGAAGAGACAATAAAAGCTCGAACAGAAAAAAGTTTCACAGTATTTCTGTCTCTGACTGCTATACTCGATTCAATTTCCCTACGTTATCCCTAAACTTAGCCAGTTTAAGCTTTTCCCTTCCTTCAACTGTGAGGACTGCGACAAAAAATATATTGGTCAGATTAAACGAGCTGGTTGAAACTCGGTTCAAAGAACATGCATCATATATCCGATTTCGGAGACCAACAGATCGGTGTGGAGAACGGCCATAGAATAAATGAAAACTGTCTGAAATTTTTGAGATTATCACATGACACTAGATTTTTGCTTGCTTTCGAAAGTCTGGAAATTGAAAAGTGTAGCATGAGAACTATGAATAGTAACAAAAGCCCCTTTCCAAACAGCCGATCGTCCATCTTTATATGCATTGATAAGTTGAAATTAGCGAGAACTTTCACGAGAAAATTTCCTGAGAATTTCTAATACCCGAAACCACTGATGTGGGTCTGAAAGTGAAAGTGCTCCCTGTTAAATGATGTAAAATAAACACTAGTTTTAGAGATAGAAATAAGTCTGCTTTATCTTCTGAAGACGCCAACGTGGTTGGTGGAACTCGCGTCGAGAAAAGTGTTGCAGTTCTGGGGTTTGCTTATTTTTGATTCAATCTATGCCAGAGGTTCCTTGTATTCTAAAGTATTAACTAGGCACATTTTTGATATCTTACTTTATTGCAATTTTCGTAGGAGTCTGATATTTTAGAGATAAAATACAGCTTTCTATAGATGAAAAATTTGTTAAAATCGGTTGAGTCCTTTCAAGTTCATGCATTGTAAACAAACATTTCCTCTTTTAATTATTCGTTTAGCCTTCTGTGCATTTTACTGTTCAAGTACCAACCAATAGAAAAAATCGCATTTGTTAATCATTAGCTCGCACAAGTTTCGACTTTTGAGGGCTGTCGTTCGTAGAGGGACGACAGCTGGTTAACGGAAAAACATGTTGTTATGGTTTTTTTTTCATACATACAATATACGAGGTCCGTCTATTAAATAACGAGACTGCGCGCCTAGAGGTCGCCCCAGAGGGGTGGGGAAAAACGAGTAGTGCGTTGGATATCTGGAAATCTTCTCTATTCGCGTTCCAAAACACGTTTTCGTCACTATAATAGTATTTGTGTAGTAACGGTTTGAAACGAACGTCTTTTTTCTCGTGCCGAAAACCATGTGTGACGAAAAACAGGAGCAACGTATCAATTTAAAATTTCTCGTTAAATTGAAAAAAATTCTGAGTGCTATAAATTGTTGCCAGAGGCCTAATCTCATGCGCCTGTTTTTGAATGGTGTAAGCACTTCGGTGAGGGGCGATAGAGCAAGAATGTCCAAATCAAAATTCAAGGCAATGTTAATCTTTTTTTTTTTCGACATTAACGTTATCGTGATAACTGAATGGGTTCCAGAGGGCCAGACTGTCAACCAGACTTACTATTTGTCAGTTTTAGCAACACTGCAAAAACGAGTTCGTAAGAAACAAGTTGTGGAAGAACTACTGGTGGATTTTGCACCAGGACAACGCACTTGCCCATAACGCGCTATCTGTGAAGCGGTATTTGGCCGATAAATGCACTCCAGTGCTTGAACACGCGCCGTACTCGCCAGATTTGGTGACTTTTTTTTGTTTCCGAAGATAAAATCTGCTTTGAAAGGGACTCGATTTGAGTCGATGGAAACGGTAAACCAAAAAACGGCAGAGCTCCTAAAGGCCTTCACCAAAGAAGACTTCCAGCACTGCTTCGATCAATGGAAAAACCTATGGAAAGGGAAGGGGAGTATATTGAAGGGGAGCATTCGAATGTAGAATAATTTTTGCAATAAAACCCTGTTTCGTAACCAGTCTCGTTATTTAATAGCCGGACCTCGTAAAATGAACAAGAATCCCCAAAAAATATGTTTTAGTTTGCGATAAAAACTATAAATACGTTCCATAGTTTTTTCGGAAATGTAGTTACTTTTTCATTTTTCGAAGACCAAGTAATTCATACTTCAACTGTTTTAGTATTGAACTCTTTTCATTGGTGTGATTTAATGAAAAATGGGGCAAATTGACTCTGATTTTGAAACTAACCTGCTAATAACCGTCGTTCTGGAGTCTTGATATATCCATATTTCTTGTTTGCTTCAGTTACATTAGGTACTCCCAGTTCTACCCCATCATGTCCGGCGTGACCGGCAAGATGATTAATCATCAAAAATAGAGGTTTATCAGTGTCATGTTTATCTATCACTTCCAAAGATTTTTTTGTGAAGAGTTCAGTGGCATACTGTCCTATTAGTCCCCACTCTGGTTTGAACTCATTGTGCAGATCGAATCCGGTGAAGTTCTTTAAACATATATTTGATCACAAAAACGAATACTAAAATATGTTGTGGCTTCATTTATATTTATTCTACATTTAGGGTTAGTAACCAAGCTGAAGGACAAGAAATTACGAAAAGAAAAGTCAAATGAGCTAACAAAGAGAAATTCCGCCTCAATTCCTATGAATGTCATAAGCAACCGTGACTACAGAGCATTTCTTTTATCAGTTCACCATTTTTTGTTACTTGAGAACCGTCTTATTTCTCCATTTCTTCTGACTCTCTGGAAAACACTGCAGTCTCATGGGTTCATTGCGTTTTTCTTTCCATCTTTTTACGTTAATGGATTTTTGCCAGATCTTCATTGATGAGATTTGTTTGGTTGCGTCTTCTCGTTACAAGTAATAGATTTTGGAGTTGATATACACTCTGTGTATATCACCGTGGGATCACATATATAGTGGATGACACTTCATTTTTTGAAAGGTGGGCCTTTCCTTTTTTTTAGAGGGTGGTTAGACTCCATCTCTCATCTGATTTTTTGGAATATAATTAGATTGTATGGAAGTTTGAACAACTTGCAGAATTTTTTAACAGAGTATATACACAAAAAACAATGCCGTATATTGAGAGATGCTTAGCCCCTTTCCCTCCCGAAATGATAAAAGAACTAGCTGTTTTACAGAAAAGTTAGTAGACAGTTTGAAACACATTTTTATGGGTCGTTATTAACAAAATACGTCGCTTCCTATCTTTACATTTAAATAAAACAAAGTGGGTGTATGTGCGTGTGTGTGATATCATCGAATTTTTTATTTGTTTGAAAGACCTATTGATGCCATTATGTGTGGAATAGCATCGTTCAAATATACGCCATGGCTTCTCTGGGTGGAGCGCATCCGAAATGCCAAATTTCACGTAACTCTGGTGCATAAATCAAGCTGAATGTGACTGATGGTATAGGTTATGTTGGCTTTGAGGACCGTTGTGGTTTGTGGCTTATTCGCATACACCTGCGACTTGAGAAAACCCCACAAGAAAAAGACTAACGGTATCAAATCACATGATCTCAGTGGCCAGTTCACATCACCTACATGTGAGATGACTATGCCCTCAAATCGCTCGTGCAGACTATCCATTGTGACATGAGCTGTATGGCACGTAACGCTGTCCTGTTGAAACCACATGTCATTGGTGTCCGGATCATCTAATTCAGGCCAAAAGAAGTTGGTAATCATTGACCTATAGTGCTCCATGTTGACAGCGATAGCCTGGCCAACGTCGTTCTCAAAGAAATATGGACCGATGACGCCCCAGTCCAAAATCCACACCAAAAAGTGACTTTTTCGGGATGTATTGGATGCTCTTGAATCTCATGCGGATTGGTATTGTCAAAAATTCAACAATTTTATTTGTTCCATGTACCCATTCATTCAGAAATGGATCTCATCGCTGAAGATAATTTTTCGATGAAAATTAGGGTCAGTTGCCAACTGCCAATGACCACTAATTTGACAGATGTAGTTTCAATAAGATGGTTGTTATCAATTGTCAAGTCGGAAGTCCCTGTTGGAAGACCCTCTGATTGTAATATATAACCTATAAGAA